GTGTGCCCCTCATAATAGATCGATTTGTTTTTCTTCTTCTTCAGTGCTATTGCAATGATTTATTTTGCCATCATTTTTCTTTCATTATGCCTGTTTCAGAGTCTAATGGAGAGCCTTGTTCCATTTATCACATGTTCTTAAGGAAAAAGATGAGGTAGTTCATGGCAGGCTTATTTAGATCAGGAAATAGTCCATGAGAATACTATAAATCAAAAGACATATTTTTACAAGTGCATATAAATATGCCTAATAGGTGTACATATATGTGTCTATTCATTCCATCGCAACAGAATTAATATTTCTGGGCTTCGTATATTTATATAATCTGAAGAGGATCAACATGCATTTATAGAAAAATATCAAGATAATTTATTAAGAGAGAGAGGAAAAAAAAATCCAGCTGTGCTTTTTAACTACAGAGAGCAAACAAGCATTGCTTTCCTGTTGATTCCACATTTGTCAGGTTTGGATAGACTTCACAACCATTTTCTTACGGCTTTCCTCTGGAAGCCTTTTAGCACTCCACATCTTACAGGAAAGAATTTAACTCTAGAGCAGGTCCCTCTCCTACTTTGTGCTAGCTGTGTTCCATCTTGCTCTGCTGGAACCACAGAAAGAAAACAGCTCTGTGTTGCTTTATTTTCATCTGCTCCATAATTTATATGCTGAGACTACTGCATTCTCCAATCTGACCCCAGGGACATCAATGGAGCATCCTCACGGTCTTGGCAACCTTCCTCTTCACCCTTTGGTGAAGGATTTGGGATTCTGATAGCCTCAAATCACATATCTCTGCTTACTATGCACATTAAAATCAACTGTAGGTTACCTTTGCTCCAGTTTAGATAACGAAATCTTTTCCCAAGGAATGCAGAAGTCTGAGTGTTTCCCTTTGCCCAGGACACATGCTAGCAGCTGGGATGCTGGACTCAGCATTTCATTCCATGAGAGTGAATAGCCTCAGACCCCAGAGATTTCCCAACTGACCTCCAAAACACAAAATCCCGCTTCCAGAAAACTTAAAGTAAACATATTTCTCCAGAGATTAGGATCAAAGCACAGGAAAAATATTCTACTTGACTGCATGTTGCTCGTAACATTATTTATTTAGTGGGACAAGGGTAAATGATGCTGGGGGAGACGCTTCACTTATTTTGTTGTGTTGTCTAGCAGTAAAAGTAGTTCACAAATATTACCTGAATATTTGCCAAGAAATTTGAAAATCTCATTCTTTTTCATGTCATCTCTGCTTCATTCCCAAACATGGTCTTACTTCATCATGACCAAAGTCTGAACACTTTTTCTGAAAAAGAGCATTATAGAACTCCAGTGCTTTGAAAAGCAGCTTCCAGATCTTCCCCTTGACTCTGGTCCTGTGGATCCTCACTTTTAATGTTTTCCAGCAACTGTTCACAGCTGTAAAACAGAAGTAATAGCACCGTGTTACCATAAGGGTTTTTTGGAGAATCTTATTCAAGATTATGAAGTTCTTGGGTATTACAATAGTGTGTCTCATAGAAGTACATAACTGAGACTTTCCAGAGTTTATTTGCCTGGAGAAGAAGAAAAATAAATAAATAAATAAATGTGAGCTACTACTTCAAGAAATATGTAATGCCGAGTTTTCTTCAATAGTTTAATAGCTTATTGTATTCACTAGAAGGAACAAACAGAGGTGCATCTGCAGATGTCTGAAGCTCTTTCTTTGCTGGTGATCTTTGCGCTATAAAAACTCAGTAAGTATAAGCAAATAAGTTCTTCATGCATGCTCTGTTAGTATTTTACTGGTCCTATTGTTAAACTGCAGTAGGACTTTTTAGAAAGTTGAGGTCTCAGTTCAGCATGGAGGAACTCTTAAAAGTAGCCCAGTCAGGGTTATCCTCAGAGGCCATTTAAAGCCAAAATTCACACACACACACACACACACAAAAGAAAAAAAAAATATATATATATATAGAGAGAGAAAGAGAGAGAAATCAAAGTTCCTCTCAAATCCAGTTTCAAGACCTTGAATACGGAGCCCCAGCAAACACAAACATTCTTGACTGTGTCCCTAACCACCAATTTATACTGCTTCCTCATTATAGAAGAAAATGAGCAAAAGTTAACCTTGCTATTGGTGATAACTATGGAATACTCTTGCACTGAACTCCTGCACTTTTTAATATGTCACATCGTGTAAATACACAGTGTGATGGATGTCATTTTCTCATGGGTTCATTCTTTGTGCATTCACATCCCTGGTACTAACGAGATGTAAGTCCAGACTCCAGCGTTATTATCCCAAGGCTAGGACATAACAGGCATTTGCAATATTTTGAAGTAAGCACATGTTTCCCTCTGACCTAAGTTGCAGATTATTTGACTTCTTTACTGAACCCTGTCTTGGCTAACACAAAGACTCAGGGCAATCGGGGGAAAATAAAAAAAAAAAGTAAATCAATCCTTAAAAAATGTCAATTTACAGAAACAAGAAGCTTTACATAGCTTGTGCCAAATACTCATTACTCCAGGTCTTAGGTAAGCATCCTAGTCTATCTGCTCCTTTTTCACAGTGTTTTACTACAGCCCCGCCAGAAACAGATTAAAAATTCTTGGCCTTAAGCATTTGTGCTAGTGGAAACCTGCAGTAATGGTTCTTTCCCACAGTTTAAACTATCATTTTGGATTATGTTTCGGGTTCACAGAGCAGAAATCCAGAAAAGGCCAAATGCCTCTTTAAAGATGAACTGTGGTTATGCGATAAACCATTAAAGCACAAAAATAAGTATTTGAGTGAGTACTTTTAAATGGGCTAAGTGTAAGCTCTGTGATGATAAGTGCTCCCTCAGTGCTCATTCCTCGTATGCTTTTCTTTCTTATTTTCATTCTTTGTATCTAGTTAAGATAAACTGGCTTACACCATTTTTAAAGTGCAAAGATTTCAGCTAAACAGTCACTGATCTGTAAATATTTTACAAGACCTTTAGCATTTTTCTTAAGTAAGTAAGTCCTCTAAAATTTATGATCCCTGGCACTGATTGCAGTGATTAATTTGATGACTTTAATGAAGATTGCAATCCAATGACTCCAGCAGATGTTTCTGGGTTTGCTTCTCCGGGAACTTTCTGGATTCTTCTTTCTCCATTCCCAGGAACTAAGACCCAATTTTAGCAAAGTGCTGATGAGCGAACCAGCAACAACAAGGCTGAAGTAAGTCTCCATCTCCACAGTCCTTAAAATGTTCAGCATTGCAGACATATAAGCAGCTGAAATTTGGGTGCTTAGCCAAGCTTCTGTAGCCTGGAAAAAAAAGATGGATGGGAAACATACAATTGGCTCTCAATAGATTTGTGGTATTTCCTGCACTTGGCTGGCACAGAAGTATCATCTATTTCTCAATATTTTGGCACTGCCAGGATGGAACTTGGCAAAAAAACCATCATTCGCAGCACAACAAAAAGGAGGTTGCTTTGAGTTAGGATTTTGTTTGGATTTCATTAGTTTATTTCTCTTTACATTTTGCTCTCTCACTATCAAAGGCTGTTTGCATCACCTGATATTGCCATTGAATATTAGCTCTATAATGGAGATTATCATGTGAAAATTGATACGTAGTTTGGAGTCCTCTCTCTTCCTCCTGGTTATTCAGGTAGAGGCGGGAGCTTTTTGTAAAGAAAGGAATGAGCAGAAAGATGGGAATGGCAAGGGAAAGACAGGAACCCACTAAAAAGTGCTTGGCATTTCTCTTTGGCCCTTTAAGTCTATCCTTCAATTTTTAAACTATGTCTATGTCCAGTATAACCTCCATTCCCTGATTTCTGGATAAGCTATTCCTCACAAGGCGGCATGTAATGCTCACACAGATATATTTCAGTAAATTATTCACAGAGAATGTGAAGACAACTTCATTTCAGGTACAAAACTATCAGTGTAAGTAGCCTTCATTTCAGGTACAAAACTATCAGTGTAAGTAGCACTGGACTCAGCTGAAGCAACCTCCTTGCTCCCCATTATGTACTTAACACGATATACACAGAACATGTTGTTTTAGACTACCCATTTTATGCTATACGATCAAAAATAATAGTGATACATATATATATATATATATGTATTTTCATTTTATTATGGAACAGCCATGCATTAGAGACTTAATGTTATACAAACACCAAGAGCACCTGTTCTAACCTTCCATGGTACAGTTTTTTATTATTTGGGCAAGGAAACTGTCATTGATGGTTTAATGACACTGATATAAAGGGTTAATGATGACACTGCTGAATTGCACTCTGACTGTGGCAGAGACCTAATAAGGGAAACGATGGGTGCTGTCCCCAGCAGGAAGACAGGGAAGTGGGAAATCCTGTGGAATCAGAGGGGTCTCGCTTCACTAAAGACTGCCACAGTACCAACCTGGACAAGCAAATGCTGAGGCCCATCATGCTGACAGTGCAAAAAAAAAAATGCGGTTGCTCTTACAAATCTTGCCTGAAGATTTTGGAAAAAAGTGCTTTGTAAGAATGACCATAGCACAGCCATTTATACCCCACTAAGGGTATAAAATACAGAGTGATGAGTAGAGCAGGGATCGGGAATGACACCTGACCAACTCCTTTGGCTGGACTATGATGTGAGTATCCCTTTGCTCCCCTTAATGTGGGATGCTGGGCTAAGGTGACCCCTCATGAGGTTGAGAGTCCCCGCTATAGTCATTTTTATTTTATTTCATTTCATTTCAGCTTTTTATTTGTAGTTTTATTTCTCTTTTTGGGACAAGTAGTTACTTCATTTAGTTGTGCTAATTGCTAATTCCTCTTTACTGATTGATCAGCCGATTCCTATAACAATCATGTGAGTGAATAGTGGATGCTGTTATTGCAAAGCCCTTGCACTGGTGAATAAAATCAACTGACTAAAGCCCATTGGTTGTTGCCCCTCTGGATTATTTTACTGCCTCCTTTAACAACAGACAGCGTGACAGTCCTCCGCTGAATTACATGATTTTTCCATTTCTCCAGATCACAGGCAGAAGCCCACCAGAATGACTAGTAATCACACAGACTGTCATTACTGTCTGCAGTCTCTTCGGGGAAGGAAATATGCGCTAAGGGAAGAAAATGCATATTGTGTTAGATGTTATGACAGCTTATTTGCCAACTCCTGTGAAGAGTGCAAGCAACCTATTGAGTGTGATTCCAAGGTAAGGACTTAGCTTTGCCATGCCACTGCTTGTTAAATTACCAAAAAAAATCCCATTTCTTTAATGATAGGGTCTGTATTATTCCTGTTCTCATGAAGAGACCCAAGCACAGCCGTTGTGCTGATGTGCAGCAATACCCAGCAGGGAGGAACAGTGAGTTCTTACTTGGGATAGGAAAGCTCAGAGACAAACACTGGGGAATCTGCACTTATGTGCACCTGCTAAACACAAAAAGAGGGTGAAAAATACCAATTGGTTTTGGTTTACATGCTGGATTTCACCCTTTGCCTGCAAAGACTGCAAAATCCTTGAGGTTCATGAAATACCATGGAAAAAACAGAACTAGTACTTTTAAGTAGTTCAGGTTTCTATGCCTGATCAAGTGTGAGACAAAGGACTTACTTACTTAAAACACATGCTTCTAGTATTTGGCATTCATTGCACACTCATCTGCTTGAGAATAGGGAATTTACCTAAACGCTGTGATTATCAGAGATCCATAGCTTATGTTCAAGTCCTGGCACAATTGCCACACAACATAATTCCTAGGCTTCTTTGCCTCAGGGTCCCCTGGATTCTCTAAATGGACTTTAAAAAGTCTACTTCAACGCATGTCCCAACTGCTGGTTCAGAAAGTTTTTGTTAAGCTTGTTACATTCTTTGAATTTCATTCAGTGACATACATGGATGTATATTCGAATTCTGCCTTTTACGTCTCCCCATTATACTACAAAAAACCTATTGGCTAGAGGAAATTTACAGCCTACAGAAAACCCACACTTGAATGCTTTGCTTAAGTTCAACCAAGTATTCCTACTTGCTCACATGTGCAATACCCTAACTGTTGTGCCTGCAGGGCTCTGACTTGACCCTCCTTCTGTCTCTCTGGGCGTTGTGAGGACACTTTAATGGAATTAAATATTCTCGAGTGAAAGCCAAGGAAACAGACTGATCTGTCCTTGTTGAGGACACCTGTTTGAGTGTGGGAGATCTGGATTTAAGGTCAGACAGGCCCAGATTCAAGGTGGGAAACACCACACCTCTTGGGGAAGTGATCAGAATCTGTGTTCTTTTGTACCTTCTTTATTGTATGGAAGGATCATTTCAGCACTGCATCTCAGGAAAGGATACACAAGTCAAAATCAGGAGTGGAAATAAGCACCTCCCTGTGGCCCAGCATTAGGTATGTAGATATTTCTGAAGTGCCAGGGTACCATTCACCTCTTGGCCATCACTGGCCATTTGCAGGTCACACTAAGTACCTGCAGCTGAAAACCTCATCACTGTGTGGTGATTAGGTCCTAAAGAGACAATATATTTGTGGTCTCTGGCTGTTATCTCATCTGTTAATTGTGAGGGATGTGTTTCACTGAGTAGAGGGAGTTAATTTTAGTTTAATTTCTTGTTTACTTTGCCTATCCCATAGGTGACATGTTAGTGGTGGTCGTTCCGGACCTTGCTTTCCTTTCATTTCTCTCCTTTTTAAGAAGATTAGATATTAATATAAGTTCCTCTGTGCTCTTTGTCAGGGTTTTGCCCACCCTTTAGTTCAATTTGCAGCCTGTACATTTGACTTTAAATTTTACATTCAGATGAATACTGTACAAACACCTTTGTTTTACTGAGTTCAGTATGTGCCCTCTCCCCATGCTTGCTTTGCCTATGTTCATTTGGAATAAAAGGTCATAAAGTTATTAAAATAAACCTCTCAGGAAGTCTTTCCAGCCAAGGCACCTCATGTTGCTCAAAGCACATGCTGTGAGCACAGCTCAGGACTGAAAGGAATCTGCAAAGGAAAATGCTGATTTGGATGAAAATTGTCCTGGAACACTTGACCAGCCATTTCAACAGCAGTTGTGTAGGTAGCCCCAGACAGCTTCATCTGCAGAACATATGCTGGAGAAGCTGAATAACTGCACTTTTAAAATTTAAAATTAAGTAAGTGGCAAGACCAGCAATCATTAATAAAAGAATATGCCTTTGAATTGAGTGGAAGGAAAAATTGGGACAAAAATACTGCAGGAGCAATATGAAATCAGTACAGCAGGCCAGGGTCAGCTAGAAAAAGGGCTCAGAGATCTATCAGTGCGACCCTTTCAGCACCAAAGATAGCAAAAGAGCTTCCTCCCCTTCTTCCCACTTCTGTGGTGATATCCTGTGTTTTAAAAATTACTAAATAAAGAAAACAAAAGTGGTAAGTGCTCGGTACCTCCGAAACTGCAGCCTCGTATTTACTGTGCTTCTTGTTTCAGTACTTTAAAAGGAGAGGTACTGACAAAGGAGAAAAATTAAATTGGATTTCTGCCCTTCCGCTTTGTTCATTATTTATAAAGAAGACCTGAAAGGGCCTGGTTTATTTTTAAAGGCTTTTTTTTTTTTTTTTTTTTGGTGGTGGTGGTGATGTGCATTCTTCCCTTGGAAAAATAAAATCTGCTATTTGCTCTTTTCTGAATTCTTAGTGGAGGTCTCATACATACACTTAGCTTTCTTGGCCCTTAAGCCTGCTGAGTCTTAAACAAACAGCTTCCTGCCAACTTTTTATGCGGAGTTATATTAGGTGTAAACAAAAGCAATGTTTTTTTAAATAATCTTCATAAGAATCATTTCTTTCTCAAATAATGAGGTTTTAAATGCTTGTTCTTTGCAATAGTTTGACCTTCCTTTAGTCCTCTGTAGAGTCAACTGGAAGAAAAAGCAGAGATGTTAAAAAATATATGAAGTTCTCTTTGGAAGTGGTCTGTGCGCATTAAAAGAGCTTAACTGTTTGTTTCCCCTTCAAGGCCAACTTTGAGGTATAGAATGATGAGGGACATAAAAGAGATAAAAACAAAACCTATCTCTGCACTTAAATACGAAAAGGCAGGTGTCGGTGCCAGAGCAGGTGTTATACAAGAGATGTACAAAATCTCCTGACCCAGCAACTTTGAGTACTAATCTTGGACCACACTTTCTGCCATATCCACATACAAGTGCTCCAGTTGTTATGCAAGTGCTCCTCGTTTCTTTTCCCCCGCCTAGGAAGAGCTGGGGAGAAGGAACACAGTAAAGAAATGCCTGTACTAACATGGCCTTGCTTTTTCCAAGGACTTGGCCTACAAAGGCCGCCACTGGCACGAGGCGTGCTTCAAGTGTGCCAAATGCAACCGCTCGCTGGTGGAGAAGCCGTTCGCGGCCAAGGACGAGCTCCTGCTGTGTACTGGATGCTACTCGGATGAGTACTCGTCTAAGTGTTTCCACTGCCAGAGGACTATTATGCCAGGTAACGCACCAGGGACTCTGTAGTGAAAAATGAAACTGCATTTTTAATTAAAAGCTCATCCTTGAATAACCAAGCTACGGTGTCCCTGACATTCAGAGCAGCTTTTGGGTGACTACTTCTCCTTCAGGTATTAAATGCACTACCTAAAAGCTCTCCTAGCAGTAAATGGAGGGAAGATGGGTATCTCAGGTCCAGTATTGATGGGGCTTATAAAGGAATATTTAGAGTTTAAAAAACAGTAAAATGTGTTGGTGTTGAATTCTTGATTCTGCTTGCAGTTTTTAGGAAGCATTTTCCATTGTCTGTGTAGGTAGACAAGCAGAGCTATCGTTGGTGAGAATGTCAGAGTACACAAAAAAAAAATCTGTATTTTGTCTGTCACCTTGCCCAGATTTTGAGCATCAGACCTGGCTCACTTATAAACCATTTCTTTTGCTCAGAAATATTTTCTGCTTGAATTGTCAAAACATGACATTCTATGTTCAAATCATTATCAACATTTTTTGCTAAAAAGCATGCATACACAGATGTGGTTATGATAGGATTTCTTGCCATAAACAATGAAAACCCCCTGCTTTTCACTAAACCGCTCCTCAGCTTTACATCCTATCTTTTTGGGACATCCTCTAGCACTTTCCTTCTTTCCACATCAGTAAAGCTAACGCAGCAGAGAGGCTGCCTAAAAGCTGCCTCTTCAGAGCCATTTAAGGGAAGCGACAGCAGCCAAAAGCACAAAATAAGGTCGTTGTTCTAGGCAAGGGGGTCCCAAACTCTTTTTTACAGATATCTTTAAGGAGCCAATTCATTAACTAAATGGTTGGAACTACCAGCTGCAAGCTATCTGCCATGGCCTTGTAACCATTAATTTGGGAACCTGTAGCCAAGGACATCAGTAAATGTAGCAAAAACATAGGAAGTTTATTTTCCAGGAGATCTTTGTGCCAAACAATAAGGTCTGGTCTGCATGGAATTATTGTCTCAGTATAAATACTAGGTTACTGATGTGCTGTTCAACCCACGGCATTGACGCAATTTTGAGCTTTCACAGTTTATTTGCTTTTCATTGTCAGCGTAGACAAATATTGTTGCAATATCATTGTGTTCAGTTCAGGGGAGATATATTGCTTAGTTTTGATATAGTTAAAAGAGTGTTATCTAATAGATGTACCTTAGATGTGACCAGAACAACACCGTAACACAGTGGTTTTTGCAATATTGTCCACCAACCTCCTCTAACCCTATACTCCAGGAAGCAGGTGTTAAGTACTTGTATCAATGATTCTCTCTCTCTCTCTTTTTTTTTTTTTTTTTCCTGTGAAAGGATTGTATAGCATCTGCCTCCCTCCACTGCAGTATGATGCTACCAGAGAGGCAGGAAGCTGTAGTGAGAGTCACTGAAAGACTATCTTACACGTCTCTATTAAAGTTCACAGTGCACCTGTATACAAAAGCTCTGAACCTCCTCAAGCAGGCTTTTAACTAAGTGGCTTCCTTTTGAGATTGTGCCAACTTTACAATGGCACAAAACATCCAGTTGAGTAGGATAAAAAAGAACTGCTCATCTAGGTGGAAATGATGAACTGTGAGAAGAGAAAGTGCTACCTGTTTTGTTGCAGAAGATATTTTCTTAAAAAAAAAAAAAAAAAAAAAAGGTCAGCTTAAGATGAATAAGATAAATAATGCATTTATAGATGAAGGAGATTTAGCTTAACAAAGGCAAAACACAGGACTAAGATATACTAACTATCTGAGCAAATTCATCCTTAATTTATAGAATTGCTGAGTACCTGAACATTGTCACTAGCCAGAGAGAAACTCTGGGTCACCAAAGCATGTCAAAGTAAAGTTATCCTAAAACACACATATACTTAAGACTTTTAAAATCACATCTCAGGCCAGTTAGCATGGCTTTTTCCAGGTTAGCATACATATTACCTGTGCTCTTGCAGTTAAGAGCATGCTTAGAAACTAATGAGTTGGGGTTAAGTGCTTTGTTGATCAATACCACTAGTATTAACATAAAAGTTTAGAAACAAGAGTCTTCTCTCCTTATAAAACATATTACAAAGCTATATTTGAGGCCATTGTTTGCTTGGTTTCTACAGGTTCTCGCAAAATGGAATTTAAAGGAAGCTCCTGGCACGAATCCTGTTTTGTTTGCCAGCATTGCCGGCAACCATTGGGAACAAAACCGTTGATCACCAAGGACAATGAGAATTACTGCGTTCCTTGTTATGAGAAGCAATTTGCTCACCACTGCTACTCTTGCAAAAAGGTAATTAAATACACATTGGACAAATCAAAGCATTTCAAAGCACTACCATGTTATTTTTAATCAAGTCAAAGCCAGGTTGTCCAACAGCAAAAATAGCGCCAGTGAGGACTGTTTCTGTAATCTTTAGAGTGCATACTTCAGAAAACCTCTGCAAATCCATACTTCTATTCTCAACCAGATGTTTAAAATCTAGGTCTTCATCATGGAGCAGGGAGCAAAGACAGTATCAACAGAGCACATGAATTCTTCAGTTCTTTCTTTCAAGTAGTCTGGAGAAAGGCCATAGGTAAATGATGCAGTTACAAGTTACAGCTTATGAGGACAAGTCACAAAGCTGATGAAAAGTTTAGACTGTATGCTTAACAAGCTTTAATGAAGAGCTTAATTAACTTTTTTTTGGTTTGTTGGTTATGACTCATTATGACTTATTTTACTGTTAACCTTTTTTTTTTCTTGTGAATATACAATTTTTTTAGTGGCTTAAAATGCTTTTCCAAAAGCAGATAATGAGCAGGAGAACATGATCTTGAAATAAACGGATTTCACTTGTCTGAATCTCTAGTATCTATTTGTAACTATTGCTTTACAGGAGCGCCTAGACATGTTTTATTCTCTATAACAGTTATTTGGACTATCTGTTTTAATGTATTTAAGGTAGATAGATACTTAAATTAGAAGCATGTAGTCTCTCAAAATGTTTGAGAAAGCACCTGGGAGGATGTAGTGAACTTAAACTCCCCAGTCTGACCCCTAAGTCATATGGCTAAGCCTGGAGAAGTGGAAACACTAAGTGACTTTTCAATTATCTGAGATATCTGTAAAATCTGAGAGTCCAGGTCTGTTGGCAAGAGTTCTGTATCTGCTAGTGCTGCAGACAGGGTACAACGAGGAAAAGTTGCACTCACTGACTTTATGTGCCCAGCATAGATGCCTGTTCTCTCTAACTGTGCAATATTGCTTGTGAAGTGGGGATGGATTGTCTAAATTGCCTGGTGAACTAGGAGTATGAGCAGGAAGGGCAGCTTTCCTTTTGGCATCTAAGTAGGACACCAAGAGCTAATAGCGGCTCTGTTTACTACCTACTTATAATTAATATTGATGTAAGCCTGATTATATTTGAAATAAATGTATTTATCAATGTACTGTTGTATTTAGCTATAAACCTCTACCTTTAACAAAAGTTTTTAGTTTAGGCAAAATCTACTGGTTATGCTTTTTCCTCCAGTATTTAGCCTTTAGAAAATACCTCTAAATACCACTGTGTTTCTACCTCTAGCCTTCAATTAGCACTAAATGGTCACATGACAAATATAGTCATTCCGCTCTATCTGTATTAGAGAAACTGAGGACAGCAGCATTTAAGCAAATTAATCTCAAAAACTCTAGGACTCCAAATAAGCCTCATGCTTAACAAACAGAAACAATTTTGCTATATAAGCTTCCATCAGTTCCCATAGATAAGAACTGGACCTGAAGAGATTAAATTACTAAACTGGAGTCTTGAATCTGGTGCCAGAGAATGAACATTTCAGATTTTGAGATGTTGTAAAGGCAAATAAGGGTTAGATGCAGACCAGTACTGGAATACTGAAGATACTGGGAACCATAAAAGGTCTTTATTGGCTGACATAATCCAGTATTATTCATTCTTTATTTCTCTGAAACTATATTTCCCAACTTTATATCATCCTATTCCAACTATGTATTCTTTCATATGATGTCATACATGACTTGACAGCGGAAACATTGTGTTACAACTCCTCTATTTCCAGACAAACTACTCTCTACATTCTCTCACAAGCTCCGTGAAACCTAGTTTTCACCACACAGAGACAGAGCATTTGGAAATTTCACTGCTTATTTCTGAAGAAAGAAGAGCTCTGAACTGAGGGGAATGAGAAATTTGATGACCTTGATAAATCTCTTCTTCTGACAGCTTAGATCTCCTTCCTGTCTCACTTCATCTTATCTACTGGCTCTTTCCTCTACTCAGAATAGGATTCAGTTTCAGATTTGAGACAGCAAATCGCCAGTTCCAACATGAAATCATCCCTAACCTCAACATCAATTATATCATCCACTGTCCATCTTTGAAAAATTGTTCTTCTGAGTACATGCCCAATGTTAAGCTTTTCTGCACATGTATAAAATAAGCATTTATTAACAAGTTATTCTCTTTACCACAAATAGGGGGGTTATTTTGAAGTAAAATCAAGAATAACAAAACAGTGGTAAGTAGAGCTCCACTGGTGTAGATCAAAGTTGATATTCCAGATGAAGAAAACTGAGATGACCATACTCTCTCTCTCTGCATGTGTGCATCAGAAAAGGAAAAAAAAAAAAAAAAAAAACACAACAACAAGACCTTAAATAATCCTTCATTTAGATTGCATCTTGATAGCTACCTGAACTGCTGAAACAAGGCTCATGATTCATGACTGTTCCACTGTGGTTTGCTTTTTGTTAATACATCAGGTTATAACTTCTGGAGGAGTGACCTACCATGACCAGCCTTGGCATAAAGAATGCTTTTTGTGTGCTGGATGTAAAGCTCAGCTGTCAGGACAAAGGTTTATTTCCAAAGACGAGTATCCATACTGTGAAGATTGTTTCGGCAAATTACATGCAAAGAAGTGTGCGGCTTGTAAGAAACCTATTACAGGTGAGACCTACCTTTTAGAATGGGCCAAACACTGAGCTATCATCATTCTGCTGTCAAGTCAGATCTTTACTTCAGAAAACAGCCTGAAAAACAATTCTGTCATGATGAAAGACTGAAGGAGTTAACTATTAGAGAGATCCCCTGTAACATGTCTTGCTAGAACGTACTGATCACATGAATCTCTTTGCTACTGAGGAATTATGTACTGAAAAGATTTTTGCCATGATTTGTTTTACTACCTGGTACAGTCTTAAAGTGGAAGGCCTTCAGATTACACTAAAAATCATCCCTAAAAAATATAAGACAGGGCATTTCTTGTCTCTCCCAGAGAGTGCACACAAGCCCATCTTGTACCTGTAGTTGGCTTGGCTGTGTTTTTAAATATAAAAGTGATAAGACTGGAAGTAAATTTGCTTAGCTGCCTGTTGATAAGGCATCTATATCAAATTGGAGAGGTTGGCAAGATAGAATCATAGAATCACAGAATGCTTAAGGTTGGAAGGGACCTCTAGAGGTCATCTAGTCCAAACTCCCTGCTAATGATGAATACCCAATCAAATTGGCATGATTTACCAAAATATGTTAAAGAGCAGTGGCTTATTTCAGATACTAGGAACTCCATAATCTGGTAATTTTCCAAATCCTACACCTTGAAGAAATTTAACTCAGTTTTGTACAGAAGCTATACGTACGGCAAATGACTTTCGTGAGAGTTTGTTGGGAGATCTGCAAAACTTAATGATCATTCTGTTTAACCTGCTCTGTTCAGAGTTTGTAATGGGATACGAAAGCACACAAGTGACTTGTGAGTTTATTTAAAATACTTCTATCTTAAATTTTAACTTTTTTTTCTACTCTGCAAAGGATATTTTAACCTACAGACTTGTGTTTGCTTGCTTGCTTGCTATATGAATACCAATGTGACCATGCATTTGAAAACAATCTGTTTCTTTTCTAAACCACATCCAGAAATACCGGATTCACCTCTTCTTTCTCCTTTCTCTTTCAGCTCTCGGAGGAGCCAAATTTGTCTCATTTGAAGAGCGCCAGTGGCATGAGGAATGCTTTAACTGTGCAAAATGCTCTGTCCCACTGGCAGACTTAGGATTCCTCACCCAGGGGAATGATGTCATTTGCCACAGATGTGGCTCTGCTACATAGGTCTAGGGAGAGCTATACAGATACTTTATTCTCTCTCTATAACCATATAATTCATTACTATGCAGTAAGAAAATCAGAAAATATACATAATGGTTATTTAGTCGCTCAAGTAACTTTCCAACAGCAGTTTAATTCTATCATAGTTTTAATCTGCTTATAAAAAATAAGGAACTCCATATTGGCTAAGAAAACAATAATAAAAAAAAAAACCCAAATATTTTAAATCTAACTGCAGTAGGCTTCTCCTTGTAACACACTGCACTCTGCTGTTAGAAGATAAAAAAAACCTTACATTTTATCTCCCACGAACCAAGGAGGAATATGAAAAGTCTATATGGCATAGGACTGGTGACAAGGCATTAGCTCTACTCCATGAATGCAGATTTTGGTGTCAAAAGCCAGGCACATGTGCTTTTCTATTGGTGCACAATATTAATTATTAAAAAGATGATGTCTCATCTCTCTCCAAACTTCAGACAAAGAAGCTGCTGGCAAAGCAGCTCTCCCACTGTGAGCAGAAGGGAGAAGGAGGAGGAAGAGGAACTGCCCTCCAAAGGGACATCACAAGATTTCTTCTGTTCCAAAGGAAGTCCATTCCAAGCCTCGACAAAAGGACAAAAGTTCATTTTCCTCTCATTACTAATTCTACATTATTCTTCAGGAAAAAAAAAAAAAAAAACTTTCCCTTGATTCTAGTCATCCAAAAGACAGGTTCTTTTCCAAAATTGTTTGGCTGTACTTTTCTTTGAGGCATAAATATTTTAGAATGTACATATATAAAGCCATACCATGATCCACTGTGAGAGGTGTCAGCTGCAATTGAATAGTGCTAATGTAGAGTTTCCCTCAACTGATATGCCGTAAGACCTGGACTCCACTGTCTTCACTAGACATTCAATACCTGATAAAAATACTTTCTTATAAGGAGAGGCAAGAGATGTCTCCCTCCCCTCAAAACCCGTTTGCCAGCCATTGTTAATGACCTTACCATTTCCATACTGTTATGTCTTTGACTCACACTTTATTGCATTGCTGACAAATATATGCTTACCTACAGCAGGCTATATGTGCCTTAGAGTCAATATGTGATTCTTTTGCTATGTGACATATGCATTTGGCATTATTATATCACAAATTTGTAATATTGTCACTGCAAGCTAGGCAGTCCTCACTTGTGATAGTAGAACAAGCTCTCAGTTTCCAGGCAATTGGCTTTGAGAGGATTATATCTGCTGTTTGCTGAGCTTTGGAGCTCAAGAGCTATTACTAAAGACCATCTAGAGCAGAGTTACCAGCATTTTTCCACTTTCTTGCTCCAAACTTTTTGCACTTGTAGCAAGCCACTGTGGACAGTGCAGATTACGCACCACTCAGCACTACTTTTAATCTTGCATGTCTTCAAGTTACACATTCTCTTTAGATTTTGATAGTAAGTGCATGGAGTTATTTTGCAAACTCCAGCAGGCTTTATTTGTAATAGACAGCCATTACATTAAGTAGAAAAGTAGGTGGGAAAAAAAAAAAAAAAGAGCAAGAACTTGTGAGCATGGCTAAGCCAGAGCTGAACTGCAGTGGCGTAAAATCAATATGGGTAATGACTGACCAACAAGTATATAGCACTCTGTTTTCCAGTCAATAAAATATTGATCTTTTGCTCTATGTGGTGTTCATTTTTTGTTTTCAGTCCCTTCTATCATAGCAGCTTTTATTGGAATTTGGAATTTGATTAGTTTATACCTTTTCATTTTATCCCAGCTGCTTCCTTTACCATTCTCACATGGCTGACATAGGCTCTTAGTAAGACTTAGATTCCTATAGATAGCATTAAGTTGCACCATCTATAAAAAAAGATTTTTGTGATCCAGTTATGCACTCTATTCTAGAAATGTGCACCGAGTTATTAGAAATCAGCCCATTAGTAAATGTCAAAGGACTTTGATTTTAAAAATCACAATGATGAATCACCAGAAACAGCCATAGCTGTGGTGTGCACATTTCATTTTTGTTGCATGAAATAACATTCAGCAAGTGCAGGAATGTGGTTTGGGCCCTTTCTTCAATCTTGTCCAAACACTATTCTAGCTTAATTACCAACTGATGCAAGAAGTAGAAGGCAAAATTCTAAGACGTGACATAGCCCCAGAGCAGACTCTCTGATCACGATAATCCCATCCTTCCAGTCTTAACATTTAGGGAAATGAAATTCTGCTCTGACTCATCAGCTAATTATAGTTTTGGAAATACTGACTGAATTATTTACTTCGACATTAAATGCACTAGAGTCAGATCTAAAACTGAGCATTTTCACTTCAGAGTAATAGTATGAAATAACTGCGATTGCTATAAATAGCTTGAATAAAAAGTTGTATCAGATATCAGGTTATGATTTTCTTGTCTCTATCCCCAGCTATTGATGCCTAGACATAAAACCAGTAATACTCTGTACCATTTCCATCACCTTTTTTTGTGATAGATGAAACGCAATTTTAGTAGGAACAGAGAAACACTACAAGGAATTAAGTGGAGGAATGTAGATCATGGAGAGAGCAAGACAACTGCTATAAGCCAAAAGACTGTGTTTGGCTTAGGAGCAAAAGAGAACAAATTTCTCATGAACAAACATTGGATAGGAGAAGGCTGACTCTCTCCAGAACTACAAGGGCAACAACTCTGCGATAAGTCTCAAAGTGATGCTCAACTGGTTTATTAAATGGAATATATCCATTTATCCATTTATCCAACAAGATCGCCTGTGATGGCAAAGCACTGGGCAAAATGAACCACATGGTTAGTTTCAGTCTTGGTTGCTAACATTAAATTTACTGTAGGATAATTAGGATACAGACTCCAATGCAATTCAATTTCATCTAATAAGTCTCAGAGGATAGTAGTTTGAGGGATTTATTCTTTAGTAAGTCAATTTTTAAATGGCACATGTTTTTCTTTAACACTATTGTTTTATTTTCAATTGTTTTTCTAGCTCTTTTTCTTGTATGAGGTGCCTAACTCCAAGACCATTGTATGTCTTTTGTTATGATGAAACTAAATACAGTGATCCCTCTAATGCCCTGACCACCCCTCTATTGTGCTTAAAATGATCCCAGAGGACTGAGAAAAAGACTGCCAGCTGGGACTAACTTCAGACAAGTGAAGTAGGTGCCTTATTTCTGCTTTCAATGCTTAAGGCTAAAACTTTTCTCAGATCACTGTCTAATCCTGAGACAACTTCCAAAAAGAACATTCTTAAAATATGAAGACAAGCCCTTCAGTATTATTACCAAGTGACCTTTCTCTACACATTTTTGAAAGTCACATTTTTCCTTATGCGAAGCTCTTATAGCAAAAGAAAGATATCAGTCTTTTCCTGGACATTCTTTTAAGTGTCAGGAATAATTTCACTAGAATTAGCAAGCAACAACTAAGGTAGAAATTAACTGTGGGACCCAGCAGCATTTCCCAGTCTTTCACAGGCCTAGATACATGCCCTTGACCTATGATTTACATACAGGACGACAATCTGAATTCTCTCCTGCCCTTGTCCTCTGTTTTTCGGGAAAGAAAATTTAAGAGTCTAGATAGAAAGAGACTATAGGCCAGAACTACAGTCTGGGCCACATCAGTGAAACCTTTTTTTTTTTTTTTTTTTTCTCCTTGCACACTCACAGAGTGTTGAGTTTCTTTTCTTTGTTATCTCGGCGCGTTCAAGCTGAATGGGTGCTGCACTCTAGCACTGCATATTCTCTCACATTTTCCCAACAGGAAGAGTGGTTCAGAGCTACCACAGGAACACTAGGACTCAAGTACTAACATTTTGTGAGGTGCTTTGAGCCTATGGTTTCAAACACTTCACAAGTCCCATCGCAGTGATAGGCACTGCTTCTCTCTGATCAACAATTTCAACACCTGGTCAGAGCAGTTGTGAATCACACTGAGAATGTGATTAAGAGGATGGACTTAGAGCAGTCTGTTGTATTTAAGGAGGAGAGAGAACAGCAAGATTGCCATTTATACAATGGTGGACTTCAGTTGCTGAAGGATAGTGATGTTAAATTAATGAATCACGTCATTTGTTAGAGTTAGGCCAGCAACTCACATCCTGATAGGACAAAGTCCCCCAGGACTAGGTACTCGATGAAGAACAACAACAACAAAAAAAAAAAGTAAACTTTTTAGTTTGGGTACTTGCTTCAGTTCCACGGCTGTAAAATGAGACTAACTTTCCACCTTGGAGAGACCAAAGCAAATAATTGTGAAGTTGAACTAATACATCTAAAGTACTGCAATAATAATAGCATGATGACTACCACAGACACACGACTGTACTCGCTGGGAGCTGCTGCTCTGCACAGACAGGGAGGACGAGGCTGCCTTTGCTTAAAGGCTGCGAGTCTGCCTTTATCTACGGGCTAAATAAATCAGCGGCGCAGGCAACTTTGATTTCAGAACAACAACTACAACAAAAGATTAAGAACAAGCCCTGAAAATTCTAGCTCAAATGACAACCTGTAATCCGTCAGTTTTACTTCTATTTAGTAGTTTTACAAAACTGGCGGAGAACACAAGGTTTTCAAAGGAGGAATTCTTCAAGATTTGCATCCTCTGGCCCTGCCAGAAGAGCAAGCAGGGCAGGAGGCGAGCAGGCCAGGCTAGACCAGCACCCGCTAGATGGCACAGTGCCCCTGCAAGCAACACAGCACACTGCAAATAAAGCGTTTTCTCCTGCCCAGCGGCCACTCCATGGCAAAGCCAATGCTAAAAACTAAACTTCACAAGCCCTTACAGTTGCACACATTCAAAGACGTGTCACTTACGAGCTAGAGACAGAATTTACTGACTTAGATTTGCTACATATTTGGAGTGGGCCCTTTGGGAAAACCGGTGTTGCTTCAGTTTCCGCTTTGCTAGGATTCAAGGAACTCACAGAGCTATTTACTACATGTTCTTTATCTATATGTAACTGGTTTTACTGAAATTAAAACTGAAATTAAAGTCATTCTGTGTTACAAGAAACTGTGCCCAATGGCAGAAATTATAATCTGCCATTAGAGGCTGAAATTTAAACAAGAGTAACTTGGAAGCACTGAAACTATTAAATTTAAAAGAAGAGTTTAGGCTTAGCATAACATAGTTTCTGCCCTG